GGGCTGCTGAGCGCGGCGGAGTGCGGGGTCGGACGGAGGCGGCGACCGCGGCGAGGAGTGTAGGCACCCCATGGGGAACACGTTGACCTGTTGCGTGAAGCCCAGTGCCAGCCCCAACATGGGCCGGCGCTCGAGGCCGGCAGAGCCGGACTACGAGTCTGAGGTCTATGAGGCGGCGGCTGGGGACACGGTGGCAGTTGCACCTTCGCCCGCTGCCCTGGAGCCCGCAGAGTTGGATTTCGGAACCGGCGAGGGCCACCACCTGCAGCACATCAGCGACCGGGAGATGCCGGACGGTAAGGAGGCGACAGACGGCGGGTGGTCTGGGGAGTACCTTTGGCCACCGCCGCCCCCCGCGTCCCCGGGGAGAGAGCCACCGCCTCGGGCTCCTTCCTGCCGGGAGCCGGCTTTCCCGGGGCCGGGCACCGGGGAGGAAGGCTGGCTCTGCCTGGCGTCCCCACCCCTTATTCTTTCCCCGTCCTATCGGCCAGTTTATTTCCCGCATCACTACCAAACGCACAGTTCCTTCTGTTCCCATGTCTCAGCCCCGCCTGAGACCCTCCAGCCCTCCGCCCTGCCTGTCTATGGCTTTATTTAACGTCTGGTGGGACTTTATGAAGACTTTGGGGTAGATTTTCTCCCTTTGCTCAATGAAAACTTTACTACCACAATTCCGGAGTATTCATCCGATCTCCCTCTTTTTACCTATCCGGATGGCGCCCAGGTGAAGGAGCCAGGTAAGGAGGGGCCTGGTGGTACCCTTGCCGCCCCCTCAGTAAGGTAGTTGGTACTCGGGACGGTTGAGACGCAAACATTTTAGGGTTGGTTACTTAAGTTCGCAATAGAGACTGGCAGAGGAGAGTCTGTCTGTCTGTTCTTAAATAGGCAGTTATCAGTTGGATAGAAGCTGCTTTATTTCTTTCAACTATAATTTGAACGCAGAAGGCAAGAAAATGTGGGAGAGGGAACTTAAAATAACTGAAGGATGTGAAATGTTTCTGCCAGTGCTGCAGAGAGCAAGGTCCCCCCCACACACTTTGACACAAACATGCCTTGTCTTACTTCAGCGACTTTGCCTGTTCTAATGGAGAGGTGGGGTGGTTCCTGAGACTATTGGTCAAAAGTTCCAAATGAGAAAAAACAAACGTAAGTTTAGACTTTAATTGTAATATAAAGGTTTGGGAGTTAAAATGCCAGATCCTGCACAAGAATGTTTGTCTCCATGGCTCCCTCTCCTTCCTCTCCCCACCCACCCATAGGATCCTGTTCAACTTTAAGAATGTTGAATAAAAGTTATAAAGACCAAACAGCTGGTTGGGTGCAGGGAGGGTAGTGCGCGGGTGGGGAGGAGGAGAGAGGAAATGCCTGATTTAAAATAATTCTGGGAAGCAACCTGGCTAATGATGACTGTTCTTTGAAGTAGAAAACAATGTATTATGAAGATGTTAAAGGCCCATTTGTTTCGTTTAAATTCGAGAATATTTTATTTCTTAGAGAAAAGGTCTTATAGTTCTTACTCTATTTAAACTTTAGTTGAGCTTTTAATTTCTTTAAAAGTTAGAATAATTAAGCCTGTGAATTCACCCAGATAGTGGATGTGGCTTTATAACTGGGAAGTACTCTCTTTTCATAATATTCAAATATTGTAAAAAAAAAAAAAAAAGGAACAAATTATGGGAATTAATTGTACCTTTAAACCCAAGACAAGTAAGTACTTGTGAAAACTTCTGCTGTAGTTTTAGGTGCTGTAGGGTAAGCCTCTCAGTGATTTTACAAACTGGTTATTAGATGGGTGGTGTTGGATGAGAGACCAGAATAGGACTTTTATATATTCTTTTAAGATTTACAATACATTTTCATGTATATCTCATTTGGCCCTAGTAACTACAAATAAGGCTCATGTATATATTCTCCCTATATTGCCAGTGAAGAAACTAAGAGAGACTGAAATGACTGTGTCACAGCTACTTAACAGAAAAGGCTGACACGGAGGTGATAGATATGCCAAATTCAGTTCTGGTGCTTAAAAACCTCTTTAGAATGCAGATTATATTTTATAATTTCTCCATAGAGTGGGCCTATCTTAACTTACTCCAGTCTTGATTATTCCCATCAAAATTATTGTACACAACTCAGAAGGAACACTTACCTCTCCATCCTATATTTCTTTTCTTTTTTCTTAATGTATTGATTTGAGAGAGAGAGAGAGAGAGACAATGATTTGTTTTTCTACTTATTTATGCATTCATTGGTTGATTCCTGTATGTGCCCTGATGGGAGATCGAACCCTCAACCGTGGTGTATTTGGGACAACGCTCTAACCAACTGAGCTACCCAGCCAGGGCTCCATCCTATGTTTCTAAATTCCTTATGATGAATAAGAATAAAAGTAGAAGTCATGAAATAGCATGAATTTACCAGGTAAATAAGTTGATATATTTTAAAGAATTTGTTCTGGTGACTTCAAATTGAAGCTAAGAATGCCCTAGGCAGAGGGACTTTCAGAGAAGCTGAAGAGGGCAGGTAAGGTAACAAAGGTTAAGCATAGGACTGTGATCAGGAGTGTTAAATCAGAAGAGTTAAAAAAATAGAGTTCATGATAGAACTTCCTTTTTTATGTTTAACATGATCGTTAAATTTCATTTCAATTTGTTTTTAATTTTGGGAGGAGATTCAATAAAGTAATACAAGAAACCTCAATTTCAGCATTTGCTATATAAGTTTCCATAGAAACAAGGTCAGAACACCAAATATAAAGTACAAGTATATTAAAAGTTTGCTTCTAATGTCTTTATTTCAGACAGTTTTATACCCGTTTCCCTGGAAACTAAGAAATACCTACTTAGATGTAAAACATTTCAGCTTTTCTACAATGGAGAATTGAATTATTTGGTTACTTACACAAAATCATGCATGAATGGTGCTCTACGACACAAGAACATGATTTCTTCAAGCCATTTCAAAGAGATATCCCAAGGACCTAGGATAGATTGCAGAGAAACTTAAAATAATTTTCTACTACCTTGCCTTTATCTAACTATATCTAATGTAACTGATGGTAGTATCAGTAACACACACAAAACACTTAAGGTTCTTTTATCCAATTTATTACTCATCAACTTTTTATACAGCCTTTTATGTTCTGACATTGTGAGCTTTGCTAATTTGCTGGCTAAAGGTGCTCTCTCAGGTGACCCCTTCCTCCCCTTCTCCCTAAGGAGTGAGTAGGGAAGGAATATTATGTGGAAAAACCTCTGAGCAACAGATCTTTCCTCTTTCCAGTAGCTATTTTAAACCCTCTTTTGTGTGTGTGTGAGAATATTAATAAGCATTTGATGTAAAAGATTTAGAAAATCCAGAAAAGTCACTTATGCTCCTAATAGCAAGAACATTTATTTATATTTTGGTGTTGATTCTTCTTGAGTCTTTTGTATGCATATAAACATAACATTTTGTTTGTTCTGTGAAAAGGAGGTCACTCTTTATGTGCTACTTTGTAACTTTTTGTTATAAAGAGAGGTTATGACACAAAGCTGGAACTGCTTGACACCAGGAGAGCGCTCCAGGATGTATTTCCATGCAACTGCATGGAGCTCTACTGCAGGCCTTTTAATAACTGTTCAGTGTACCATCAAATGGTTGGAGCATTATTCATTTACTCACCCTTTGTGGTTAGCCATCTTTTAAAGTGAAACCATACACAATCCCATTATAATGCTTTATTCTGGGGACACATAAAAATGGATGCATTGTTGTACCTCCCTGTAGAATTCAGATAGTATACTTTCTTATAACTTAATTAGGATGTCATTTTGTAGTTAAGGTGTTTTAACATTAAATGTTCTTATCCCAAATTAAAGTAACCATTGGTTTTTCACTGCACATTAAAACTCCTTTTTTAGGTTTCTGTGGTTCTTTAATTCTGAATAAGTGCTACTCTAAGATCTGAAAGTAATGCTGATCTTAGATGACAAATCGAAAGATAGCATTTGATGAAAACTTAGAAGATATAGGAAAATTGGGACAAACTTTACTGGTTTGGGTTCACTGAAATGGTTAGATGTCTGTTGGGCACCACTCCAGATGTAGGACAAACAGTGATATATACAAGACAAGCCCCTAGCTTAACTCAGGTCCTTACATTTTAGAGGAGCGCAGGGGCAAACACATGAACAATCAAGGAAGTCGGTGGTGAAAGAGCTGCTCTCCTTAAGTGACACTGAGAGGGAGCCATGCAGAATTCTTTAGGTGGCAGTATGCCAAGTGCAGGCAAAGAACTGAAGGACACGAGGATGACTGCAGCAGAGGGAAAATGATGCCAGGAGAATATGGTGGGTTAAGACCTTGTGTGCCTAATGGGCCTTGACAGAAAATATGACTTTTTGTCTAGTTGTAATGGGAAAGCATTGGACTATTATATATGCAGGGAAATGATGTTCTAGAGAGAGAGAAGCCACTGTGTGAGAATAGGGTGGAAGCAGGGAGACCAGGTAAGAGCTAACAGAGGCTTGAACAAAAAACAGGGCCGAAAGGCTGATTTAAAGAAATTAAGTGATCCCCAGTGGGGGACGTGCAGGAGGCAGCCGATCAGTGACTATCTCTCATCATTGATGTTTCTATCACTCTTTCCCTCTCCTTCCTCTCTCTGAAATCAATAAAAATATTTTTTAAAATAAAATAAAAAAAAAATAGGAACAAAGATCTGAATGGACAAGTCACAGAAAAGAAATGCAGACTATTTCTTTCCTATTGGGAGAAGACCCATAAACTTGTCACTGCATTCTTTGGTAAGGCTGAAGAAACAGTTACCTTCATATGTTGCTGGGGAATGCAAAATGGGGTTTGACCCCATGAAGGTGACGTTGTAATCTCACAACAATGCAAATGCATTAATCAAGAAATCCTACTTCGAGGAATTTATCCTGAAGACTACCCCACAAATATGAAACCATACATTCACAAAGTTTTTGTTGCATTATTTTCAAAAGAAAAATATTAGAAATAACTCATGTCTAAAAGGGTCTGGTAAAATAAACTAGTACGTCCACACAGGAGAGAACCATGGAGCTATAATAAAGAGTAAGAGCTTTCTTTACTGCTATGTGGTAATCTCTAGGATACGTTACATGAGAAAAAGGAAGGAGAAGATATAAGTAATCTATATGACAGAATCAGGGAAAGTATGTATTTGCTTATTTTGAAAAACCCACTGGGAGAAATTCTTGCTAATTGTGTGACTATATCATTCCTTTCCCTTTAGTGGGCAGCTAAAGCATGTATTTACTTAAGACGATGCTTGGGTATATTTAATGAGTGGACATTTCATACACTCTCCAATGTAATGCTAAACATTCTCATTTTGCTTTTGAGTTAATTTGTGAAAGATTTGTTTTGTAATTTGTTGTGCTTTATGTGTTACATAGACTGCGCTTGCATTTCATTTGATTCTCACAATGGTTTGAGTATAGGAATTATATCTGTTTTACATATAAGAAGACAGGTTTTGAGTGGTATAAATTTGAGTTGCCCAAGGTTTGAAAAATGATGCTTGCAGGAGCAGGAATGTTAATTCCAGATTTATAGCACATAGGAATAGAGTTTCTATAACGACACATCATGTGAGCAGCTTTGGGGATACTACCTTTTTTCCTCACCCCCTTTTTAAAGTGTATTAAAGTAATTAAATGTAGGTTAAAATAGTAACATTGCATAATGTGAAATGAAATTGAGGTAAATTGCAACTCAGAAATGTTCTTAAAGTCTGAGACACTAAGCAAAGTACTTGTGCACTTCTCTATGTGAAGTGTCACATCTTAGTCACAGTCACTAAAAGATGGATTGACAATTAAACCAAGCAAGACTGAGAACCAAGGTAGAGGCAGCTGCAGGAGTAGTTTGGAAGCCAGAGTTAGGATGGTCAGAGGCTAGGAAAGCAGAAGCAAGGCTCAAGGAGCAGTAGACTGGGGGGAGCAGGCGCATGCCGTGTGCCCTCTGGTGAGGCAGGCCGGCTCAAGGCCATTGGGTAGGAATTTCCTGACGGGTGACAAATGCGTTCTGAAAGAGATAAAATCATCATTGTATATGGTAATTGTTAGACCCCAAATTTTGTGTTTGGGCCATGAGACTATTATAATGATTAATAAATGCAATGCATAGTATAGGGATGATAGAGCAGTTCAGTAAATGCAGGAAGCCTTGAGTAAACAGGTGCCCATCATTTGGCCAGAAACTGCTGACATTTCTATTTAATTGGAATATATTAACATCATTCTGTCAGATCATTTCTTGGTCACCATCCTCATATTTTGACAAGGAAAAATAATTTATTGACAGTTAACAATTGCATAACTTCAGTATACTTTTAGTCTTTAGTAATGCATTTTATTTATTTTAAGGTTATTTATATTTTCATATTTTTAACATCTGTGCAATTGAGATGGATCTTAGAATTGATAGAATCTTAGATTAGGGGAAAAGCAGTATTTGATGTCAGTGGGATTTTACACATTTCTCCCTCTTGGGAATATTTACATTGAGACCTTAGTTTAATTTTTTAAAGTCATACTTTCCCTGCATCAACCTATCATGTCAAATTAAGTTGCAATTTAAATTAATAATATAAAAGTGGTAGGTCTTTAAAATGCAATTTTAATCACAACCCCTAAATAATTTTTTAAAACTTTATCATGCCATAGGCATTTATACATAATATGGCTACTTCTGCAAACATTTTTGCTTATTTTTTAGATTAAAAGGCAATATATTTGCTTTACTTTTGGTAGCAAATAGTCTTAAATCCTTTCAGAAGCCTGAGGTTAGAGGCAGCTGTAAAAGTTTCTGCCTGTCACTTTATGCACAACTGAATTAATTTATTTTTCTAAATAACTATCATTGTCTCATTTTTTAAAGTATGTGGGAAAAAACCCTTTAAAATAATTTTATGGGCCTTTTACATAAGAATGTTGAATACAAGCTCCAAAAGCAGTTTAATGAACTTGAAATTCAGTAAAGGAATTTCCTTAAAAAACAAAGCATTTGGTTTAGCTGTATAAATTTCTAGTGCTGGCAGTTCAGGTTCCTGTTGAACCAGGAAGTCCCAAATTATGTTTGTGCAAGATTCTGTTACTTGGAGGAAAAAAGGATTCCAGGTGGACGAGTTTGTGAAAAGCTGTGAGACATCATTCATTACTGACTGATGAGTTTTTAACAGCAATGTGCATTTCGATTCTCTTAAGTAACAGGATATAGTGTATTTAGATTTGACCACCAAACACCCTTTTAAAAATAGAACCATTATTATGTGGTTTGCGAAATAGTGCCTTAACCATTCCTCTTTGAGGATCTCGGTTCACTTTCTTACAAGGTTGGTTAAGTGGTTTGAGTAGGACATTACTGAGGAGTTCCATAGGGTTTTTGTTTGTTTGTTTTAATGACAACTTTATTTTGTATTCTTGCTGAAATANACCATAGGGTTTTTGTTTGTTTGTTTGTTTGTTTTAATGACAACTTTATTTTGTATTCTTGCTGAAATAGATTATCCCACCTTGGTGCAAGGTGGACTGCAGGCAGACCTTCTGTTACATAGGTACAGAAAATTCTTTTACAAGCAGCCTATGATCAGCTGCAGAAAGAATTCTTATTGAAGCCCCAAAATAATTATGACATGGCAGGAAGAAGAAAGACTTTAGCTTTGGAAATTGAGGGCAAAAAGTTTAAAACTCACTTTTATGGAAGTATTAGAAATCATTATCCCTAAAGTATACCTGTAGATTAGAACATTGAGCTTTTATGCTATCCTTTTCAGTCTGCCACGATGAATAGCCCCCAAGTAAAACACAGCAAACTAAATAAGTTCATTTGTTGGAGTTAAAATTAACCCAAATGTCTAAAGAATATTTGCCAGAAACCACTCATTTGATTTTGGCATATTTAATAAATTAGTTGGTATCTGACAGTAATTGGCCACAGTAGAACTTGCTTCTTGAGACTGTTCCTGGAATGTGCTAGTAGTATTAGCATAAAGGAGGGTGACTATGTATTTTTAATTGATAAATAGAAGGGGGAAAACACATATATTCATCTAAAATTTTCATAGATTATTTAGGTGCAAGTTTTTTAAAAAGCCTAAGACATAGCCTGGTTTTGCATTTTTCCAGCAGAATTTTTATATTGTTGGCTTTACTAAAATTGGCTTGTTATCATTACTAAAAACTCTTCCCAGCACTGTTAAACATGATCAGTATTGATGTATACCTTTTCTTAAAATCATGTTTTTCTACTCAACTAAATTATCACTCCTTTTTCTCTTCTTTTTATACAGAGTTAGCTTTGGAATCAAACCCTTCTGACCATCCAAGGGCAAGCACAATTTTTCTGAATAAATCTCAAACGGATGGTAAGACAATATTTTTTTTCCTCTGAAAAGAAGATTGAAAATTGTTTCTGTTTTATGTATTAGAGAAAGTATTCAGTGAGGAGAATAGGTAGACGATCTGTTTACACATTTTGCCACCTCTTTATGAACAGCCAGTTGGCCGTGTGATGTAGGTGTGGTCTGTTTCTTCACAGACAGCTGGGTCCTTTTCCCCTTGCTCCAAAGAGCACACGTTTTAAAGATGAGTGATAGGATTTAGGTCACAGGTTTTCATTTGAACAAATCAAAAAAATCAGTTTACGTATGAAGATGTAGCCCGCTTTACATAGTGCTCCACCAGATGATCCCATCTCACATCCAGATTGATGCTACTCAGAATTTTTAAGCAATTCAGAACTTTCTCATCTTAATGTGATGCTGTGCCAAAGGTACATCAGGGCAAACACGTCCCTGTGGGGTTGCCCAGGTTAGCCTCAGCGAGTGTAAATTTTCTGTGTTCTGTTCGTTCTAGGATAACAAGCAGAACTGCAGGATTTTAATACTCCTGCTTGCCTGCTTATTTGCCTTAATGTTATGTTAAATCTAGTTTACTTGCTTAAAAAGCCACACATGACTAAGTTTTCCAGTTGATTATGACAGTGGACATACAAGAAGTGAGGGTTCCATAATGTTTGAAGTATTGCAGCACAATAAACAATGGGCGTTTCTAACCTGCCTTTTCATGGTGTATGTGTATTGAGCAGATAATTTTTTGTTAGAATGGCTGTATTTCTCAGTTTCTTCCAGAGCCATGGACTGCTCACATGTAGGGAGAGCTCACATGCAGAAAGAGAGTTATCCCGTGGCTCTCTCCTCAGTTCTAAGGAATGTGTGCTTATGCTCGTCTCATACTGAAGGCGGCAGTGTGGGAAACAAAGTACAGCCCAAGACCCTCTTTGGACCTTTTCTTCTTCTGGCCTTTGTGAGAGCAAATCGATTTAGTGTGCTGTAGATTTTTTTAATTAGGTTAGCACAATCATTTTTAAATTTAAATAGTTACTTTCCAATTGAGTAAAGACATTTATTTTTTTAGTAAGGTATTTTAGTTGATTACCAGTGAGTGGTTCAGGATGCTTCCGGGGATGCTGGTGCATCTAGGGGTTAGTGCCTGGCCAGAAACTGGTTTTTAGAGCTGTCAACTGCTAGATGCTGGGGATTCAAGTGAGGTGGGTATAAATGTAGGATTAGACACTACTACTGGGTAGTCGTTCAGATATGTAACAGGTACAATTTATTAGCTAAGTTTCTCACCTGGCCTAATTTGTTCTGCCTTTTCTTCTGTACATGGAGAGTCTTTCATTTGTACTTAATATAGACTCTATTAGGTCAAAAAGTAAAACCAAATTTTTAGATTTACTTTATGGAGCCCATCCTACCAGGTGATTTAAATTACAAATTTTGTTGGAAATTATCTTTAAAAATGGAATGGAATTTTGTCTCATTTTGTATGTTGGTAATGTCAGATAATCAGCAACTTTTTATTTTTCTATGGCACTTGTATCAGAATTGATCAGTTAATTTTTTTTATTCTTAGTGCGAGAAAAGAGGAAGAACAACTATGTAAACCATGTAAGTAAACAGTTGAAAAGTTAAGAAACTAACAGTTTGAATTAAAAGTTGTCTGCAATGATTCCTAAAAAATATAATGGGTCCAGAACCATTAGCATGGACATCTTGTAGGTTTTCTAAATCTCTTTTGTTTTCCTAATTATCAAATGTGTAGTGAGGAAAGTCTTTGGCTTAGTAATGCCCATTTTTTTAAGGGTTCTGACATTTACGTTAAATTTCAATAACATGGTTGTGGTATAAAGATCTGCCTTATTTTTTTGCCTTAATTTTTAAATCTTATTTTTTAACAAAAGTAATGAAAGTCTAATAGCTAAATTAATTTTTAGCACTGTTTATTGACCTCCTGTCATAGCAGGTGGAAAGTTTAGTTTTCTCACTCCACCATGACCTTACTTCCCTCCCTCCATTCCCCCAACATGTTACATGGTTTTTCATTAAATCAGAATCAGTGTTTACATTATTATGACTATACAAATATTTTCTACTGTTGAGCCATATATATAGTCCTCTGGCTGTGCCACTTCCTTGTATACCCTTCATTCTTTTTCTCAAGTGTAACTGAGATCTGAGCACTTCTACACTTTCCAGGATAATCTCACCCCCCTCTTCCTAGCCAAGATTTCACATCGTCAAATGCAGTAAGTAGGCTGGTCTCCCTGCTGTAAGAAACCCACGCACGCACACACACACACACTTTTTTGTACCTAACAAAACTAATAATTTGACAAATATGACTGTCAAACAGAGATACTACATTTATGCTACATTAACTTAATATCTGATAATTTTTCATTTTTGTGTGTATGGAATTAGTTTCCTGACTATATTTTCTTGCCTGTTCTTTAACAACAATTTCCCTCCAAAATGTTGTAACACTTGTCACATGCCTATCAAAAATATTTTCCATCTACTAAACACATCTGTTCCATTTTTTTCCTTGGAAACAACCTTCCTTAGCCTTTTATCATCCTACTCAAGTATAAACTGGTTTTCCCTAGACCTGCTCTGTGCTTATTTCCCTGGCATATCTCTCTGAAGTCATCTGAGATCTCACATAACTGCTCTCTTGTGTTGGATCCACTATATCCTAGATTCTCTGTTTCCCTCTGTCTTGTTATACTCCCTTGTTTTACTGGAGCACATTTCCCTGGGAAGTAGTACATGGGCAGAAGTTTTTAGAGATCTGGCCTCTCTGAAATGCCTCCTATTTGATCAAGCATAGAATTCTAGGTTGCAGCTAATTTTTGCAGTTCTAAAGACATTTCTACTGTTTTCCCATTTACAGTGTTGCTCTTAAGTCTGTTGATGTTGTGTGATACATTGTATATTACCAGTTTTAGTCATTTTCCCCCCATCCCTTCCTTCCCTGGAAGCTTTTAGTATCTTCTCTATTCCTGGAATTCTGAAATTTAATAATATCATTTGGTATGTACCTTTTCATTTTTTTTTAATTTTTATTTTTTGGTGGCCCTAAACCTGCAGATCTTCTCTTATTTCAGTGATTTATGTACCTTTGGTTCTGCTGGATAAACTGGCTTTTTTATTCTTGCCCCAGCCACTCTTTGTAGGCACCAAGTTTGTGCTTCTTTTGTTCTGTCATGTCAGTTATTGCTCCTTCGTCTGGTCTTCAGCTTTCTAACATTAACAATTACCTGATGTTTGTCCTATATTGTGTATAACCTTTTTTTATGCCTTTAAGTCTATTGAGATATCTCTATAAGGAAGGGGAAAGGAAACAGGTTTGTGGTCAATCCAACATGTTTAAGTTAGATTTACACTTCAAGTATAGGTTTAGTTTAAAGTTTTAATTCAGTATAATGATATTAATTTGGAGAATATTTTTGGCTATATCAGTAATTAGCATACTACACTTTTCTTAATTAAGAATTCTATTCAAAGTATGCACCCTGCCATATTGTCCCATTAATGTGCAACATAGATGGAGCAGTTTTCATTAATGCATAAAGTGTTAGAAATTTTTAACTTCATTAAAAGTCATTAATTCTTAATATTCAAAACTTGTAAAAAAGTAGAAAAAACTAAACTTCAGCTTTATTTTTTAATGGGTTAAGATGAGACACTGAGCATAATGGGTGGGGGCAGAATTTCAACAGGTACCTGACCTTTGATAGTAAGGTTTGGGTTGTGACTTACTAGACTTCTAGGTATGATTGTTTTTCTAGTCTTTGCCATTGAACCTTAAGTCTACTTAGCGTACCCCCTTCCCTTTCTTGTAAAGATTGTAAAAGTCCCATCTATTCTGTCATTAGTGCTGAATGAATGAAGATAAAGTGTGATTCTTTGTCCCTGTCTGTTCTAGTGACCAACTTTAATAATATCTGTGAACATTAAACTGTCAGTGGTGTTATGGCTGTTTAATTTTTTTTTTTTGGTATTTGCATTTCTTTATGTTTGTCAGTATAGTTTATTGAGATTGTAAGCCAGCAATAGTAAGGCTTTAACCGTAAAGGACATGTGTCTTAAAATTTCAAGCAAGATGAGGAGAAAGTAACCCCCTGGCAGCCAAAATGTCCAGGCTGTGCTCAGAGGCTCAATTCTGCCACACTCTAGTGAATACTAGTTACTTGATCCTGAAAGTTTGAACAGTTGGCAGGAGGCCTGGAGTGATGGGCAAGTGTTTATGTTTCTTTGGTTGGATCTATCCAGTAGATTGTAAGTTGCTGATTTACTAAATAAACCCCCATAGGTCTGTAAGCCCATGTCTAATTAAAAATTTTAAATGTTTTAGCACTAATATTTTCAAGACAAACCAATATACATTTATAATAGAAAAAAACTTAAATAGAGGAAAGGGGGAGCAAATATCATCCAAGCTTTACCAACTAGTCTGTATTTTGGTGCATTTTTCCCGTTTTTTTATACTCCCTCAATGTATAGGTTTTTAGTCATAATTAGACTTTATTATGGTGTATTATATGCCACATTACACCTCAATATTAGTGATCTTAAAAGATAACCATCCATTTAGAATGAAATTATTTGGATGAATTTTCATTTTTTATGCTCTATTTGTTTTTTGAGATCCCAAAAGTAAATTATACATTAACTACATAGCTTAAGTAACAGAGTTTTAATTATAGTTAAAACAGTTCTAGCTTGAAGGAGAATTTATTCCTCCAGATAGTGGTACTTTTCAAAAATATACTGTCTGGAACTTTTGGTTAATGGCTTTGCAGTAAAACATCTGAAACAAGTGAAATGGTGTTTTATATAATATATAGATGATGTTTCCGATTATTTGCTAACTGGCAGTTTTTAAATGCTCTGTATTTTAAAAGGCATCAACTAGCTTTTCTCCTTACCCCATATTTTGTGTACTTGTGGGGGATACTGATGGGGAAAGCATGACAGCATGATAAAAACTTTTATATTAATATGAGGAAGGAAGGCTCATCTGAATTAGTTTTTAAAAATACAGCAAAACCAAGCATAGTAAAATTATTGGTATTCTGTAATACTAAAGAATACTACTATGACTTTCAATTACTTACAGTGACTGGGAATAGTTATTGGCCTTACTTTAAGGAAGAGAATTGTCCTAACATAGTTTAGGCTATTTCAGTATTTGATTATTGCTGTATTGTTGAGCTTTTTACAAATCAATGGATACTTCTAAAATAAATGGATACTTCTAAAGTGTTTTAAAGATAGTTTATTCTCTGGAGAGTCTCAAAAAGTTCATTGTCACCTCTCCAGTACCACTGCAGATAAATTCTAATTTGTATCTGTAGTAAGATTTACCTTTCCGTTGTGATTAATTTTAAATAATTTGTCAGGCACTAGTTGAACTCCTAATTTTTCCCAAATCTGTGTTCAGCAGTTGGAGGCAGGAGAAGAGTAGGAGTCCTCCCTGTCCATAGAGAAGCTTGCTTTGTTATGAGGAGGGGGATTCCCTGTAAGCAGCTCATGGAGTATAAGAAGAATCTTAATGCTTAATTGTTTGACATTTTAACCAAGGAAAAAACACACTTTTATAGGTTTAACTTACTGTGACATTTTCTTCTATTTCCCTTCCCCTTCAGGTATCTCCAGGGCACCTTACTAAAAAATATAGCTCATGCTCAACTATATTTCTAGATGACAGCACAGTCAGCCAGCCTAATCTTAGAACCACAGTACAATGGTGAGTACAACTAGGCTGCCAAGGGCTGAGTGACAGACCCCGTATGCTAAGAGCATCCTAGCCACACGGAATTGCAGCCATTTGATTGTCCTTTTTAGTGATCAAGTTAAGCAACTGATGCCAATTATATATTGATTTGAAGGACCTAAATATAAATATGAATTTTCAGTTTCCGTTTTCACCTTAGAGTGGATGGAAGAAGGGAAGGCCAGTTAGCAAATAAGAAATCCCAGAAAAACCACTTACCTTTTTGATAACATTTCTGTTGTTAAGACATTGTTGAACTATTATAATAAAAAGGAGAGGTGCTTTTTGATTGGGTGTTTCTAGAAAAAAAGTATTTCTTTATGAGATATAGACCTAAAACAATGTGTACTGCTTTGGAAGCTACTCTTGGAAGAAGGAACAGCTTGTCCCCTACTGGCACCAGAGTGTATGTGCATTAAATTTAATTGGATTTTGTCACATTTTCCCCATCATACATTTTTCCCCCTGCACTATTTCTGTATAAAATTTCACTTCTCCTTCCATCCCCCAGAGAGGGGGGAATGCATCAAGCCAGTCTTAAGGAACAACTTTTCAAGTTAAATTTCTTTGTAGATATAATTTGTTCAACTCACATTTTAATTTAATAGATACAGTAAATTTCATTTTATATATGCATAGAAACTTAGCTATAGTCAGGTTTATACTTAAGTAAACGTGAACAGTGAGTTGTGATGATGAAAACTATTCATTAATTTCTGGGAGCACCACATAGTCCACAATTGGAGATGCACTTTAAAAACACCCTAATATGAACCTTTCAAGTGCATTTAAAAGAGAAATAAAGCAAAACAGGAAATAGAGCTTCTAATTCCCACTGGGGCTGACAAGGAACATTATCAGTGTCTCCTTGGAGTATGAGTGTTTATTTTCCAGAACAGTGTGGGACATGCTATCTGGAAGTATTGATTTCCTCATCCCAAATTTTACTTTTCAGTCTTTAAAACATAATTACCTTATAAATTTAATTTTGTTTCTAATGTACCAGCTTTTTTGCTGATTAAATTATCAGTAACTTTTACTTTAATTAAAAACAGTAAGTTCACATCATACTAATGTAACTTTATTCTCTCACTTATAACAGTAGCTGAGATCAAATTGTGTTTCAACAAAAACAGCCTCCTCTTTCTCAAGTCCTGAGCTTTGGCACCTATTGAGTAATCACTGAATATTGTCATTCAGCCAAGACACAAAATCCATGAGTAAAAAACCACTCGACTTTGCATTCTGTAAATTCGTTTGAATTCAAAAGATCCTGATGTGACAGCATATAATTCAAAAGTAGTTTTAAAGATTAACCTTGCTTAGACAAGTAGGTTTCATGCTTATTTCTCCAAATTAGTCTAATTTTTGGAAGTACAGTAAGTTTTAATTTGCTCTCATTAGGTTTTGAAAATGATCATTCAGTACATTCACTATTAGTGAAATAAAGGTTTACTGAGAAAATTAATAGAGCTAATTGGCTTTTAGAAATTATTTTGAAAAACTACTTATCATGGAGTAGTAGTACATTGTTCTCAATGGAGTGGGTGAGCCTTATTAGAATCACTTATGCAACTTTTTTCAAAATATGTGTCTCTGAACACATGCATTCCACCCCTCTCCCCCAACTACTCTCTCACTCTCACAAAGCTTTTGATAAGTTGAGGAAGGATGTGAGGCATGATTATATGGACAAAAGAATCCAGAGTGATTCTGATCTTTTTTTAAAATTTGATTTAATTTTTTCCATCACCATTTATCCCCTCTATGCCCTCTTCCACCTCCACCCACTCCCCTCACCCCTGCCGTCAGAAGGATGTGAGGCATGATTATATGAACAAAAGCATCCAGGCGATTCTTATCTTAACCCTAATACATGTGCTCCCAAACTTTGCTGCACATTGTTATCACTAGGGGAGCTTTAAAAACAATCCCATGTCTTCCCAATGCCATTTAAATCAGAACGTCTAGAGATGAAAGCCAGGCAGTTTCTACAGCTTCTCCAATGATCCCAATGTACAGAAGCTTAGAAACCACTGCCAGGTGAGAATGTAGGAGAAAGAGAACTACTTCTCACTGTTGGCCGGACCTTAAGGCAGTTTTAAGCCTTGGTTGCCTTCTGTAAAATGGGTTGTTGAATTAAATGTAATCTAAGGTTCAGTGGTCATTTTCAGCTTGGAAATTTTATGCTTTGGATTCTGTGATTTTGAAATCAATTTGATGATGAAACTGTTTGAAGCACTATAGAAGTATCCATCTTTGATGCTAACAATGGTATAGGCCTTTTTACAAGAGCTAATATTCTGTAGACCTAAAAAATTATAAAATTCAGATTTGCCTTCCCTCAATTATTTTGAGCTTCATTTTAGACATTGAGGGCAAAGAGGAGAAGCATATAACTTAACCAAGAGAACCCCTTTGTTGCCTAGTACACAATATCTTTGAATAACTTAGGAATACAGTAACTTACACAGTATCTGAGGACACATCTGCTCATTAATATTTCATTTAGGCTAATTTGGAAGTAACTTATTAAATATTACACTGTGTAGTATTATGCTGCATTGTTAGCACTGCTTATTTAAGGATAGTTAGACCTATTGACTTTGTGGGTTCTTATATTTGCTATTAAATTTTCTGATAATTATGTAAAAGTGATCTTAAATTATTTTATCTGGTATAGAGCACTTTATTTACCTTTAGGGAAATGATGGAAAATGGGTGGGTAGGTGGATAGTAAACTAAATCAACTGAAATGCAGGGCCTAACAATCTTTTTCAAAAAGCACAAAAACTACTGTATGGCTTAAATTTAAGCCTGGGTACAAATAAATATAACTTATACAGGACAAAAAAGTCTGTGGGTATGAGGGCAAATGACAGGGGAAATATGTAATATATAATAATCAACCAAAACATGTCTTCTAACAGCATATTACCTAGCATTTTGGTTCTCCTATTTTTGCTGTAAGTCAAAGAACTAAAACAAGGGGAAAAGTGTCCATATTTTAGATACCGTTATGAATGATGATTTCAAGGACACTGGGCAGCTGGGAAGGTCTTCCCCCACCCTAACGCCTTTTTAAAAATGTGTTCAGACCTAACATATTAAAATCAATTGTTATAATTTTTTTTCCCTCTACAGTGTGACCTTAGCGATATATTACCACATAAAGAACAGGTGAGTTTAAAAACCTATCTTGTTGTTCTAGTTAATAAATTTACCAGCTGTCAAGTTTAGTGTTAGGTAATAACTGTAGCCATTATTGGAGTGAGCTGTGGAGTGCTTTTATTATGTTATTGAAGTGAATCATTTGTTTTGGGGGTTTTTTTTGGAGTTTTAATGCTTAAGTTATTGTGGATCCCAAAGAGTATTTGTATTAGAAATTAAAATTGGGAATTTAAAAATAAGACCAGTATGTTAAAACAGGATTTTTATAGCACTCTTGAAGTTTTGAGCTAGATAATTCTTGGTTATGGCGATTGTCTTGTGCATTAGAGGATATTTAGCAGGATCCCTGGCCTATGCTCCCTCTACTCACTAGATGCCAGTAGCACTCCCTCCCCACTTCACATTGTGACAACAAAAAATGTCTCCAACCATGACCAAATGTCCTCTGGGGGACAAAATCATCCCTGATTGAGAACCATACTACTAACATAATTTTTTATGAAAAATAATTGTTTTTCACAACAAAAAAGTTGAATGGAAAGTGTGTCATTTATTTACATTTTTGCAAATCTTCTTAATGTCTGGCTTAGTAGAAGATAGCTGATTTTCATGTATACTCTGTCTTAAGTCATTGGCAATTACATCAGTCATTTCAACCATTAGTTTTGAAAAACTAATATGAAGAAGATCCAGTCTCATGTAGCTATATGGTTAGAAAAAGGTGTATTTCTAAAGTCTTCAGATAATTGTGGATATTCTTTGATACTATACCAAAAGTCCACAAGTGCTGGATTCTTAAATTAGTTACAATGGAATTTTAAATCATATCCATAAACTTGAAGTAGGTAATTTGTTAAATTAATACCCATTGATCTGTCATGTATGCTAAATGGATCTTTTACTTGTACATGATTTTATAATATTATGTATTGGTCATTTGGAAAGTATTGGTTCACATTTCTTTATAAAGTGTCAAAAACTTACTTTTGTTTGTATCACCACCAATCTCATATAACTATTGAAAAGCCATCAAGCTCACTAAAGAAGGTACACATATTCCAAAATCCTGACACTTAGCTTGATAGCTTGAATCGTGTCATTGGCAACAAATATACAAGTTATTTTCCTTGAAATGACAGGCTCACTTTTTGTTTTTGAGAGAATGACAGTTGTACTATCAAATAAAGATGTTGTTCTATGAAAAAAGTGGTTTCTTCAGCTCACAGCTAAGTCAGAAGTGCTTTTCCTTAACACAGCCACATATCAAAATACAGAAGTGCTTAGTGCATACTTTATGTTTATTCAGAATATAAGAAGGATCAAAGTTTAATAACGCTATCAGTTTTTACTGCTTTATCAAGGACTTTATTTTCTCTTTTTTTAATTTTAATTTTTTAAAAATATGTCTTTATTGATTTCAGAGAGAAGAAAGGAGAGGGAGAGAGAGAAATAGAAACATAAGTGATGAGAGAATCATTGATCGGCTGCCCCCTGCATGCCCCCAACTAGGGATCGAGCCCACAACTCAGGCATGTGCCCTGACCGGGAATCAAACCCCGATCGCCTGGATCCTAGGTCAGTGCTCAACCGCTGAGCCACACTGGCGGGGCAAGTCTGTTCTTAAGTAAAGCAGATTTCTTTTTTTCAGCTCAAGTGGCAGTGAAAAATAGAATGACTACTACTACAGTTTGGTACCACTGCCTTGATTCATGCTCAGAAATCAGTTTTACTCACTTTTGCTTTTATACAATCTTTGCAAATGTCAGTGTAAAAGCAGGCGCTGCCTTAATATTCCTATAAAAACAGTTTTGACCTCATGGGCCTCCTGAAATGGGTCTAGGGGAACCCCAGAGGCCCACAGAATATACTTGGAGAACCACTGTTTAAATGAGCAGAGTGCCTGGCCGGGCGTGGCTCAGCGGTCGAGCGTTGACCTAGGATCCAGGTGATTGGGGTTCGATTCCTGGTCAGGGCACATGCCCAGCCAGGTTGCGGGCTGCAGCTGATCAATGACTCTCTCTTCATTGATGTTTCTCTCTCTCTCTCCCTCTTCTTTCCTTTCTCTGAAATCAATAAAGATATATTTAAAAAATAAATAAATAAATAAGCAGAGTGTGTTAGTGTGGTGAACTTTTAAATCAAAAGACTGGTTGCTTTTAAAATAAAAACGCAAGTTGTTAACTCAAAACTATTTAAAAGAGAAGAAGAAATACACAATAACAATATAATATAGGAAACTAAGAGAAAAAAAACTCACATGAGCTAAAATTCTAAGGACATTAGTGCTTTATAAATGTTCGTGTGTATTCCAGTGTGCGGTCAGAGTTGAAGTGTATTTGGTTTACTAGCATTGCCTGTTAGGGGGGGTCAGTGCTTATAAAGGCAACTCTGGCTGCTCATCACAGAAAGGATTTAACAGAATTTGATGTGCTGACTAAAACGAGTTCAGGAAACCCTCTTACAGAATCCAAGAGAAGAATTTGTAAAACTGCTCTGTTGAAGGTTAAGCTGCTCCCTCCACTCGCATCTCTACTCCCAGCAGTTGTGTTCCTAAGATGTTAACAGTTTCTGAATTAGTTTTTTAAAAACACATTCTTATTTTTTAGAGATGCAAATAGATCCTTGGATATATTTGATGAGAGATCACATCCACTCACGGTAAGTCAGTTTTATTGAAGTTGTATTTTTCTCTCCTACGGTTATTTCATGTCAATTTGCTTTGAAATTAATTACTAAAAGAAAAGTACTCCTTCCAGCTTGAAGTCAAAATCATCTGCCTTTAAATCCTCTTCCCCACTCCATTTGTATCTAATTATTTACAGGTAATTAGGGTGTTGTATGAGGGATATGTCAGTAGGAACGGAGCTGCAGCTTTGTGTAAGTCGTGAGCTAAGATAAGTAAATGTACCCAAAAAACAGAAAATGTATCTTCGTAAAAGATAATTTTCAATAACATCAAACAGTATAAATATTTGAAAATTAAATGACTATTTAAATTTTAAATTAATTAAAATGACAAACATTTTCAAATTCACTTCTTCAGATGCTCTATAGCAATATGTGGCTGGTGGCTACTGTATAAGGCAGCGCAACCTTAGAGCCTCATGGTTGCAGGAAACCGAAAAATGTATTTTCAGAGTTGATTGCAGAGACGCATGACATGGTGATCAAGACTTTTGAGCCTAAAAATAATTTAAATGTACATAGAATTCTGTAGCAGGAAGGTGGAAAGGAACATATATAAATTTTCTGAAGTTGTGCCTATATTTTTCTTTAATGAATGGCGGTAAGTATTGAACCACTATTGTTTTTTAAGATCCCATTGATTTTAACATGTCACCCAATCAAAATTTTATTTTAAGGGGCATGTGAGCACAAGTAGAAACCTGCTATCATAAGAGCACTAAGTATTTTTCTTCACTGGATACTTATATTGCATTTTTTCTCTCCTTTCAGCGAGAAACGGTTCCAGAGGAACACTTTAAGCATGATCCCGAACACAAATTTATTTACAGATTTGTTCGGACTCTCTTCAGTGCCGCACAGCTAACAGCTGAATGTGCAATAGTGACTTTGGTAAGATAGGTCTTCTTTCAGAAAGCACTTTTTCTGTTTTGTACACAGCGTATGGTATTTTTGAAATAAAAGTAGGTTCCTGAAATGATCATCACAATTTTATTAAGAGAAACCTATCAAAGGTAGTAAAATATACAAATTCAAGCTAAATAATCATTATGATTTAAAATGTTGCCATTGCTTTCTCATCACAAGCAGTTGCTGTTAAAGGCAGCAGGAGAGATTTCTGGTTTCTTTCTGCACATCTCAGGAGACACACACACACGTGTAGTATACACACATACACACATACAAGGTGTGCTGGTCGGGTAGGATGGGGCAATAACAAACCATCTGGCCCCCAGGCAGAGACTGAGTCAGTGCAGGTCTAAGCTGACTCCCAGGCTGTATTCCCCACGCAGTTGAAATGTGTGTTCTGCTTGAGAACTATAGCTTTAACTTCTTTGTTCCTTGGATGATGGGTGTTAATCTAGTCCTCTTGTTCCTGTCTGTAAAGTTCCAGTAGTACCTGAAAGTCTTTGCTAGTTGCCTGCAAAGCTACAGCTGTGTAAGGACCTTTGTGTCATCCATACAGAATTCCTATGGTAAGATTTTATCATTTGGAATTAAGTCCTAGTGAGAAGTGGCTAGGATTGTATTACCCCTGCCTACAGCAAACCTAAAGGGAAGAGTCAACGGCATAGTCTGGAGGGAAAGAATATTTAGGTCAGGGCCCCCTCCTTTAGTATCCAGTTAAAATTTTAGAGAGGCAGCTGGTGTTTATGAATTAGAGACCCCTCAACAGCACTGGATCAGACACAAGCCTTTTCATGGAGCTACCAGCCATTTGGAGTGCTTAGCATGTGCTGGAGAAAGGCAGGGTGGTACAGGAGGGAGAGCATCTGGGCTGGAAGAAGAAGGGGAGTTCTTTGTAGACATGTTAAGTTTGATGTACCTTTGAGACAGCAGGGTGGCAATGTCCAGTAATTATGTGAATATATGGAATTAAAAGGTGAGTCTGAGCTAAAAGTAGGGAATCGAGAGTAGCTGTTCAAATGCAAAGAAAGCATGTGAATAAAAAGTGGACAGAAGATAGACTAGTGGCAAGGAGTAGAGGTATTCAGGGGATATTTATGGAATGATTGACTTCTGGGCAGCATTTAGCAATTGACCACACACTATTGAATCTCACTTATCTGGGCTTCTCTTCGATTATTCTCTCCTGGTTTCCCCACCACTCTAGCCCCTCCGGGGAACTTGTCCCTTAAGTGCTGATAGTACTTATAGATCTAAGTGCTGAGGAGAGAAACAAACACAATGTAAGAGAGAAACATCAATTGGTTGCCTCCCATACATGCCCCAACCAGGCATCGAACCCACAGCTTAAGTATGTGCTCCGACCAGGAATTGCACCCACAACCCTTTGGTGTACAGAATGATGTTCCAACCAACTGAGTCATCCCGCCAGGGCAGTATTTTTTTCAATGAGTGTTTTTAAAAAGAAGATAAAGCAGGGTAAAGTGATACAGTGATTAGAGGGGCTTGCTATTTTAGATAGAATGGTCAGGAAGAGCCTCTTTAAAGAGGTAATGTTTGAACCGTGACCCAACTGAACTGAGGAAGATGAGGAGCTCTGGTATTATAGGCAGAGGGGCAAGTGCAAGATTCTGAGACAGAAGCATGCTCTGTGTAGTCAAGGAACAGTGAGGTGTGGCCAGTGTAGTCAGAGTGTAGAATGAGGGAAAGAATTTAGAACATGAGGGCATAGAAGGGCAGTGTTCTATCTTACAGGGCCTTGTAGCTTGCGGCCCATGGGAATAAGTTAAATTTTTGTTGGGAAGTCTTTGGCAGATATTGAGCAGGGGAGTAAAGTGCTGTTAATTAAAGACACTATCTTGATTGCTTTCGGGAGAATAGACTGTAGCTGGGAGTCCGAGTGGAGGCAGAGAAGTCAGGAGGCAGTAACAGTGATACAGGTGAGAAGTGACCAATAGAATAGAAAGCTGTCAGATCCCCAGTGATAGGTAGAGATAACAAGAATTGTTAATAGGTTAGAGCAGGCTAAGGCAAATGGAGGTTTTTGGTCGCAGCAATTAGGCAAATGGCAGTGCCCTTTATGTTTTTGGGGAAGGCTTGGGGAGTGGAGAGTTGGGATGAAGAGCTCCGGTGTTCATGTGTGAAGGCACATGAGCAGTAGTGGTTTCAGAAGAGTGATAGTGGCAGGGGGAGACTAAAGTGGGTTAAGGAGAGAATGGGAGATGAGAAGCAGTATTAGGGCATTTACTGTGAGCAAAATGACAGGAAGCACTATAGGGGCTATGGAAGGTGGGTGAGGCAATATAAGCACATATTGGGGAAAATCTCTGGCAGACGGAAGATTCTACAAAAGGAGGTAATTGTGGGAATAGTGTTCTGCAGAAGTAGGATGGGATCGACTTCATTGATAGAACAGCTTCAATGAGAAGGGAAATGTCAATTCCACTGACGAAGGAGAGTGAGCGTTATGAATGAGTAATGGCACATACTAAATCTGCCAGTAAAGATGATAGGAAGTTGAGAAAATGCCGGTGTTGTGTAAATAATGCCAATTATTTCTATAAAGTAGAGTTGAACCTTGTAAGGAGATTTGTTCTTAGGATACCTGAAAGTGTTGAGTTTTGGGGATTAGGTGCAAAATTTCACTAAGAACATATAATGTTCAATAACTATTTGTTTTTGAAAACACAGTTGAGTTTGGAGAACATTGGCAAATCTGAGCTGTCAATCTAATAACTTTCAGAGTACACATACTCTTTAAAATTGAACTTACTTCTTTTTGTCAAATGGCATTATATACTCTTCTGCAAAGCATCCTTAGAGGTACTAACGAATCACAGCTTGCCTCTATAGTCTTCACTCAGCTGTTAACTTTACCCAGTTCTTTGTAGAATAGACAATACATGTAAAAAAAATCTTACAAGCCACCTGGCAGGTTTAGAGTACCAGGGGTAGAGACTGGCAGCTCTGTTACCACCTTGAAGCCAACAGAATTGACTGTTTCAGATTATGTAAGACAGATGAATTTCACAAAATGATAATGGAGATGTGAACATTAGGGGATATGAGAAGGACTGTCCTTTGTATGCATTTGTATTCCATACAAAAGCACTAAGACAGGAATACTGACAGTTACAGACCAGCCTCAAGCACACCTACTTGTCCTGCTGCACCACACAGCAGCCACTGGGAGGCTCCATTGACCACCAGTTTTTACCTTCAGCATGTGCCACAAAAGGACTAGTTACTGTGAAAAGAAAGAAATGTGCTCAGTATTACCAGGAATTTATGTATCCAAGTATTTTGAAAATCACCATATAACTACCAGCCAGGTAAGAAACATTGCATGTGGTAGGCACTCAAGTATTTATTGAACAACTCAAATCTACACTGGGCCTGTATATGCTGTCCTTTACAAGGGGAAAGGTAATAACTGCATTTCTTCAGGATGACCTTTGCTAAGATGCACATTCATTCCTGTGACCAAAAATTGGGCTAGGAAATTTGCATGGGCCTTGTAAGCAACAAAAGTATCTGATTTGCAACTGTGACTTGGCCTCTGGTTCTGTCTGGCCAAGCAGTGTCTGTAGAACCTAAGAATACAAGGCATGTTAAAAAATAGATGAAATCTGTCATTCCTAAGAGTCCTTATCACAGCACTTAAACTGATCTGAAATCAAAGGCCAGTGTTCTACTTTTGCAGGTTTACTTAGAAAGGCTTTTAACTTATGCGGAAATTGACATTTGTCCCACAAACTGGAAGAGAATTGTTTTGGGAGCCGTTCTTCTTGCCTCCAAGGTTTGGGACGACCAGGCTGTATGGAATGTGGACTACTGCCAGATCCTCAAGGACATTACTGTTGAGGACATGTGAGTTTATAAGGTCTTGGTGAACTTTCTAACCATTTTCCAGTACTTCAGTTGCCCCCATAAAGTTATATGTTAAGAAATGTTCGTAAAGGTTACTTTGTGTAGAGAACTGAAATAGGCATAAATTTAAATACTTCTTTCCATCCATTTCTTTGGTATAACAATTCATATTCCTCATCATTAATTAGGTCTTGATGTGTTGTAATAATCTGCTTCATAATGATTTCTCTGGTGGTTTTTCACAAGCATTTTACAGGCTCACCACAGAACAACAGTACAATACATATCTGTGGCTTTCTTAAAGCCACCTACCAGTTCTAGTCCATTTTTAAGGGGCATACATCTGGCCCTTGGAATAAATGTTTGGCCACTGTTACGGCCTTAGGGCTACTAGACTATTGAGAGGTTATTGCTTAAAACTGAGTCACACATTGTATATTTGCTTTTACTGGTCTTTCCCTCCTTTTTATCTCAAGTTCTATTGTTTAAAAAACCATGATAGAACAATGAGCGTCATATGAAGGTTTCATCCCTTTGCTCTCTCCTGCCCTTTTAAGAGGATTGCACGTGTTTAAAAATAGGTCTGATGAGTTAGGAAGCTCCTACCTCTTAGGCAGTTGGCAAAGTATCACTGGGCATCACCTAGTGCCCGTGCCATTTGAGAGTTCCCTGGGGCACTCAGCAACCACAGCAGTGCATTGTGGGGAGCTGTAGGTAACCAGAGGGTGCTCGTCATAGATGGCACTGTAACATGAGAGTGAAACACCAAGCTTAACAAGGGTGTTTGACTGCTTGTGAAGGGCCCTGAAGGTGGGAGGCAGGATAAACCAAAAAGGTATTTCCAGCAGACACTCCAGCTGCCCCCCTGACAGTGAAAATGTCTTTGTTGGTGGCATTTAGGAAAATGTGAAAGAACACCCCTTGATAATATTGAACAACACAAGAAGAGCAAGATCATAGTAGGCAGTGGCAAGAGTTTGTTTTTGTTTCTTTTGCTCGTTACTCTAGATAAGACTCATTCAGAATTACCAGAGTGCGTATTTACAACTGAAGTAAAGATACTTGTGACCAAGAGAAGGGACCAGTGATTGTCAGTATCTGTCAAAGTGGCTTTTGGTGCAAATGCCCCCTTTGATAATAGTGTAAACTGAGTAGTCATGGTGATTTTGCTGGTAGCCATCTTAGCAAACAGTATGACAGCAAATAATGAATTTGAAACAAATGGAAGTACTTTTGAAAGTTGCAGAAGCTAAAGTGACTTTGATCACCACTGTCAAGAGTCTTCAAACTGGTCCCTTGAAGGACAGAAAATTTGTAATCATGAACACTAGCCCTGCCATAATGGCAGCTGAAATTTTCTCAAAACCTGCAACTCAGCTGGCTGGGGCTCTGGTTCTAGTTACAACATCGGAGAACACACAGGGAAATGTGTGGGTTTTCATAGATGTGAGCCCCAGGGGCAATGGTAGCAGTGTCTAGCTACAGGATAACTAGCTGTAAACAATGCTTTTTGCGCATGAACAGAGTAACTCCGGAGCTGTGTTTATAATAAGCTGCTTTTGTTTATGATCTTTGGAAATTGGAAGGCATTACAACAGTGTTTAGTATACATTAGTTTTATCCCCCTGCTGCTGACTACTATTTGTAATGGTCTCATTTTGAGTCTAAATTGAAAAATTGGCGTCTGTCAGCTTCTTAAAACTTCCCAACATCTATATGTCCTTTTAGAATATACTTCCCTTCAAAAGAATAAGTTAAACTGAACAGCTGCTATTCAGAAAATTTGCTGTGCCTGCAAATGGTATGCTATTCAGCCATCTAGCCATTGAAAAACAACAAAAAACCCAGAAGATGCATATTCTGTAGGCATAATGCTTTTCTTCCATGATTAAACCTCTATTAATAGACATGTTAATCCTATGAAGTACTGTATTTCTACACAATTAAAATGTATTAGTGGAGAAAATATAAAAGGGATAGTGAAGTGCATTTATTCCAGTAGTAAATTAAGTCCCGATTAGCTGATTATCAAAACATTATCTGATTTACATTTCTATAGACTTATGGCCATATGAATAGGAAATTAATTTTGGAATTAGGATCAGTTGGGTTAAAAGTTCAACAAATGAGAAAACCTCATCTCTGCTCATATTCTGACTGCTCTCCATACAGGAGAACATCAGGCTTTTGTTGACCTGTCCAATGAATAAAGTAGTAAAGCTTTAAAACTAAAAACCAAATAAGAAAATAAGCCTCTTGTGCTTGTTAAGGTATTTTTTTCTTATATAATTAACTATCAAGGGATTACTGTGAATAATACGATTTACTCTAATTTTATATTTAAACGCTAGGCAGGTGACAGCAGTATGGTCACATAGCACGGAACTGCTCCCAACTTTCCTGTCCCACTTGATTGCATTCCCCCCCCCCCATGGCTAGGTTCCCATTTGTCTGGCAAGGGGGGTGGATGCTGGACATCTCGGGACTGCATTCCCAGCATGGGAGAAATGGAGTTTGAGTCTAGTGCTCTGTCAGAGGTCATAGCGTAAAGTGGGCTTAGTCTAGCCAAGACATGTATCTAATCTTTCTGCCTTCCGGTTTAAAAGTGTGCCCTGTCCTGTCATAGTGACAGTTTCTCACCCAGTAAGATGAAGGTGAACAGAAACTTGCTTTGTGCCCTCTGACATTAGCCCACGCACTGGGGCAGGGGAGGGGTTCCCTTTCCTATCGCATGTGGCTTATTTATTTATTTACTTATTTGAGATGAACCCTTGCTGCTTCAAGAGTTTTCCCCCCTCAGGGATAATAGCCTTGGCTCTCGATGCATCCATTTGTTGCCGTGGTGATGTGCCCACTCCTTTTGTTGGTGCGTCTCTACTTCAATAAGTCCCTTCCTGTTATCGGCCTGGTGAAAATGTCTGCAAGTTCTTCAGAGCTAATAGACAGCAGCATCGTTCCTTTCATCTGACACTACAGCGGGGCCTTGTGAGTGCGGAGGAGCGGGACTCGGACAGCTGCACTAATGGGACGCCGGAGCCGGGGCAGCAGCACCAGCGCACAGGGCGGCAACCTCTTCCCTTGTCCCACACTCCCGGCGCTGGGATGCAGAAAGGGCCAAAATAGCTGCACCTTGTTGGAACCTTAGAGTGTTAATACAGCTGGGTAGCCTTTATTTGTTTCAAAACAAAATTTAGAGCCATCCTAGTGGCTAGCCCAGAGTGATATTTTGAAGATAGCGCAGTTGACTAAAATTGTCCTGTTGGTTTTGTCTCCTTCTCCCCCAGGAATGAGATGGAAAAGCATTTTTTAGAGCTACTTCAGTTTAATATTAATGTTCCTGCCAGTGTTTATGCCAAATACTACTTTGACCTGCGTTCCTTGGCCGATGACAATGACCTGCCTTTTGTATTTGCTCCTCTTAGCAGAGAAAGAGCACAGAACCTAGAGGTAAGGCTGTGAAATCAGTAAGTGGGGTTTCTGTCTGTCACCAAAGCTAACATCTGTGGATAAATTGTATTGGAGCAGTGATTAGGAAAATGAAAAGCTTTTTTTAATTAACACATTGAGGAAGAGCTTATTAACCCTTTTGTATCATAAGTCTTTTATGGTTTCTCAAGGATCCCACATTAAAAAATATATAGGTCTCTTCTGTGACCATAATTGAGAATGTTTTAAGTGAATTTTAATCTGTAATGGTTTTCCATTTGAACCTCTACTCTTCGTTATACATGAATAATTTCTTACAACTGAATCACTAATCCTATCTATGTGCTTACCTACCACTCTCAGTTTGCAAATTCATGTCTTTTCTATGTATATCAAGGTTTGGTCCCATGAGTTTATTAGACAAAGTATTAATGGCTAACCTGAGAGACATACACTAAGAACGTATAATGTGTGTTTTAAATCCTGGGTGTAGACAGTACATGGGTTTTTCATGGAAATGGTAAAGTACATGGAGCAAACTATTATTTATGGTTTATGACTTTTGGTAAGTATAGAACAAAATTATTCACAACTGAAATGGATACTTTTAAAATGGACACTTTCTGAGGTACTTTGGTGGTACTTTAGAATAAGACGTTTTTCTACCATAATTAATGTGCAAGTGAAATAGTTCCTCATGGTGCTTCAGTCATTAGGCCTTTCCTACTGTCCAACAAAGTATAGCACACACCTGCCTCATTAAAGTTTGCTTAGAGTATATGATAACTAATGAAGATTGGATAGGATTTGAATAGATGACTAAACACTGATTTTGCCCAAGTGTACATTATGTTTAAGGAACAGGTTTACAGGCAACAGATGATATTGCTGTTATGTCCTTGACATCTTTGAGAACCCAATTTTTAAATAATTCTAAGTTCCCCTTTGCTCTGACAATCTAACCATAACCCCTAAAGGATTTACCTTAGTAAATTGGCAGGAAGTAGAAGTAGCATCCCTAGAACCTCGTAGTATAGACTTCAGCTATCCAAAGCAGCAGTAACTATGAACTACAGAAAAGAGTGTGAATGGGTGGCTTATTAGTGATGCTTTTGGTAAAGGTTGGAACCCTTGTTTTTTTAATTGTACCTATGTTCTATTTGATTGCCTTTCCTAGGCCATTTCCAGATTGTGTGAAGACAAAGACCTGTGCAGAGCTGCTCTGAGAAGGTCTCTCAGCGCCGATAACTTCATTGGTATTCAGCGTTCTAAAGCCATCCTCTCTTAAGGGAGAAGTGAGGGGTTGTAATATTATGAGCCCCTCATCTACAAGGACTGGAGAAATATCACCTCTCCTGCTCAAAAACCAGCAAAGTTGGTATTTTCACCTAAAAGACAGACATCAAGTTCTGAAGAGACTCGTGGACAGCAAGGACTGTGCTCATAGGAAAGAATGGGACCTTGTCAATGCACACACTTTGTCCTTTACTAAACAGTTACAAAAGCCACTCCAAAGCTAACTCCCAACCCACACACAGGTATCTGCCTACGGTGTAGGCTGATAGCTGTGAACTATGAGGTTTTTTTAATTGAAGTTTAAATTTTGAGACTTGAAAGACACTTAAATATATAACTTATGTCTTTCCTATTTTCCTGAACTGCCCCCTCCAAAAAAGAAAGCAACCCTCCCAATACTGCTGCATATTCCCTCACAATCAACACAGTTTTACCACTAAAACATGGGACTCCTAACAACTCATAAGGCCACAGGAACAGACTGTAGCATTGTTAAGTGTTGAAGGATTCTTCATACTACATCATGGAAGTGGCTAGTCATTATTGGCAATCAGTTTAAACCAAAAAGCTGCTGAAAACACTTCTCATTCACATTCTTTGCAAGCACTACTAATTAGCATATTAGCATGTTTGGAATAAGGGAAAGTCGTCAATTATCTACTTATATTGGGTCCACACTGCATATATTAAGAACTATAATGGGATTTAAAAAACCTACAATGATGCTTCTCACTTTTCTGATGTTTCTTTGTTAAATAAATGTATCAAAAGATATTTTCATAATTCCAATCAACATGGTGGTCCAGCAGATAATGAAATAGGTGTTCCCCAAGTGCAATTTTAAGCTTAGATATAGTGTGCTTGGGCCCTCCGGGGTACTCCTGCAGATGTATAAATGCTACAGACTTACAAAACATCATTTGAAAGTTTAATTAAATTTCTCATTTGGTTTTTGGAATTTTTTCAACAAATAAGATTATTTTCATTTTTAAAGAAATACAGGAAGCAGAATTGTTATGGCTGTTCCATAAAATCAGCAGAGGCGTATGTTCTGTATTTCTGCTCCACCATCCTTAATTCCCATTGTCAAAGTTCCTGTAAAACTGCCAGAGCTGCAGATTCAATGTCCACATTGTAGGCAGAGGGGGAAAAATAGAAAAGATTTTTTTCTTCAATGTCCTTCTCAATTTTAAGTTTGGATATAGTGTGCTTGGGCCCTCCGGGGAACTTAATTTTGTAAATTGTGAAATGACAAAAATTGGCTGAAACAAAAAAGTTTAATATTTAAATTTAATTTTTTTTGTCTCAGCCAATCTTTGCCATCTTCAAGAGGGGGTTGAAACAAAAAATTAAAACAAAAGCTTAATATTTAAAAACTACAAAACTAAGTTTAAGAGACATTTAAACTTTCAAAAGTTTTGTAAGTTCGTAGCATTTATACTACTACAAGTGCCAAAGCTTAAAATTGCCCTAAGACTCTAGGGGGATACCTTGTATCTTCATAGGAATACCCTCCTCTTAAAATAGTTCTTTGCAGGACTGAGATATACCTGCTTTGACCACCAAAGTTTTTAGATTTGGGTAAAGGACGATTGTGAGGAGCAGTGTTAATTCACATGTAATAAATTGAAAGGAATTGGACCCTAATAGTAGTATTATGAAAGCAGGTGAATGAACCGGCTTTTCTGCCCTACATGTTGACTTGGTTGTAGGTGTCCCATTGAAGTCTTGCTATTTAAGAGGAAGCATACAAATCTTAGGAACCCTTACCTCAGGCTTCAAAGGGCAGGGAGTTAAGTAATCTTCTAGGAGATTGGTAAAATGTTACCTACACTTGAAATACTTTTAAAGATTAATGTTCTCAACTATGAAATCTTTCTCCTACCTTCTCAAATGTATTCCTAGAAATTTACCTATAAAAAAGCATTTCTGGGCCAAGGGACACTTCAGTATAGCAAGGCTTCACATTATATTGAGTGCTGCAGGTTCCATCGTTTTGAAAGGACAGAAACAAAAAATAATGGTATATATTACAATCTACCACCTCAAAAAAACATTGTTTATGGAGTTCAGAGCTTGGAGATTCAAGTATTGATTGCTGTTTTATTTTGAAAAGAATGCTACAACTTATGTGGTTTTTCTTCCTCATGTTTATATTAAAAGAAAAGCTAATAAACCCTATTTTAATTAAAACTTGGCTAGTATGTTTGTAACACTTCCCCCTGTTCACTAAGCATTGTGTCTCAGCCTAACTTACATGTTTTCAATCAGCTCTGAGAGTGAGGTCTTAGTGCATTTTTAAACTGACCATAAGTTGGTTTGACCCTTTATTTGTCTTATGTTTTTTTTTTTGTTTTTTTTTTTTATTGATTTCAGACAGAGGAAGGGAGAGGGAGAGATGGAAACAGTAATTAGAATCACTGATTGGCTGCCTCCTGCATGCCCTCCACTGGGGATCGAGCCTGCAACCTGGGCCTGTGCCCTGACCAGGAATCGAACTGTGATCTCCTGGTTCATACATAGGTCTACACTCAACCACTGAGCCATGCTGGCTGAGCTGTCTTATGCTCTTTCAACCTAAAGATAATTTATTACACTTAAAATATTGGCCACAGTACTCAGTGGCATGGTGCATTAGATGACATCTTTGAATAGTTCATTATTGTGCCAAGAGGAAAAAGTACATTGGAAGATAAAATTAGGTAAAACATACCAGAGAGAAAGGAATTACAGGGAAACTGTAGATCAGAATGTGAGTTATTTGAGGATTTCAAACAGTTTAACGGGTCAGAAAATGGAAGAACAGGAACTAGAACTGTGTCACTGTAAGGAGGGTGACTAAACAAACCACATACTTTGATTTTAACCCTGGCTGGGTGGCTCAGTTGGTTGGAACATTGTCCCATACATCAAAAGGTTGCAGGTTGATCTCAGGGCCCATACAGGAGGTAACCAATTGGTATTTCTCTTTCACGTAGATGTTCCTCTCTCTCGCTTCCATTCTCTTTAAAATCAGTGGACAGATCCTTGGGTCAGGATAAAATTTTTTGATTTAAAATGCTATTTTCAGACTTAAATTTCAGTTAGAAGTATACCAAATTATCTAAGATTTCTTTGCAACTAAGACCTTAGCCACTCAGCTTGAGCATTGAGCAATACTCAGTAAATCCTGATAGTTTTGCTATATTTCCATGCACCTTATTTCATTACCTAAGGTCAAATCTTATCACTTGTTCTTGATAAATTGCTGATTAGAATAAATAACCTGATTTAGTTTAGGACAAATAATATATCACTGTAAGCTAGTTTGCACCCCATAGTAATATGCTAGCTTCTAAGCAGAAATGCTGACATACACGAGTGGTCAAAGGTTAAAAAAAAACACGTTTGGAGAAGGGACATTGGATATGACTCTGGTTTGGGGAACAAGTTGATGGGATAACTAGAATCACTAAAAATTGCACGCTCCCCTTTGGCTTTAATTCTAGAAGGTAGTATGGCCATATTGATAACTGGGAAATGTAGTCCACTTAGGGTAAGAATGTAAACATCACTGAAAGTTAGTAGGTTCTCTAATAGATGTTATGGGGCATGGAAACTACTTACTAGTAGGGTGGTAAATGGCAGTTTTCTCAGGACTTTTTACCTGGGAAGAGTTTGTTCCCTAAAGTAATGACTATGAAAGAATATCTGACTACCCTGACTCAAATTTATTTTCATTCTTAGTTTTTTCCCTATTGGAATGCTGGACCTCAATGAAATTTTAACTCTAGTATATTGTGAACTGAACTTTTGACTTCATTACAAGGAAGAGACAAAGGTCTGAAATATGTTTAAGCCAAATAAAATTGTCATTTTTGTGTGTCAAAAATGGTTTCCTGTCAGCAATCTCATATGGTTCATCCTAAAACAACTTAAGGCCCAATGTTAAAGAGAAATTTCTTCCATGCTGTACCAGATTCCAGCATGGCCCTTCCTTTCATATTTACTCTTATTATATCTCGTGTGCCCACACATTATTAAAATCCAGCAGTACTGAATCCTGGTTTTGTAACAGCTCATTGTTCATTTCTTGGTTTAGTTTTCCTATGTCTATAAATACACTATTCCTTGATTTTTAAAAAAAATGCTGAAGCCAGTATTTACCAGAAAAGAATTCACTCTATTCAGGTTGTGCAGTGCTTTTGGAAATGTTTAGCTATGGCATGTAGGTTAGCTAAAATCTTTCATCACCCAAGCCTTCTCCGTGACCACATCTAAAATGACTAGCCTGTTCCCTCTCCCAGACGCTGCATTCTGGAGTACAGAGCTACTTGGAAAAGCACTTGACAGCTGGCAGAGAAATCTCCAGGTAAGTGTTCGTTTCAGTGAAGAACTTGCCGTTTATACCCAGCATCTACCAACAAGCTAAGGATTAGATTACCTAAAGTCTTCATTTAGCCACTCACCATCCTGGTCAGCCTGACACTGCCAGTAAGCAACACAAAACACCGTGCAGCCCTTCAGCACAGGCTCAGTCTGTTTGGTTTCTGAGGCAGTTTCCACTCAACTATTTCAAATGGGTTTGCCAGGTGAGAGACCATGTAATATGAAACAAATTCTAAGAATACCAGTTTGTGGCTTAGCATCTCTAGGGTGCAGAAAGAACTAGGAAAGTGAAATCGTTTAGAAATTAAGAGGAATCCGGAGTCGAATAAAAAAAGGTTAATCGTTTAAAAAGAACACGTTAGGTGATTATCGTAACTGCTGTGAAGGGAGCTAAGTAATTTGAATGGCTAGAGAAATTCTGTGAGAGCATCAGAAGTTATCAATAGTATTTACTTAAAGACCTCAAATGATTCTGCTGGCATTTTCTTGAAACATCTATTTATCTTACTCTTCTCAATTGTACTAACCTTCAGCGCTCTGTCCCCTCCCATCCCACTGCCGTTTAGGGCTCCCCCTCAACTAGATCATCTCAGCCTTTACCCTTTGACCTTCTGCTAATGTCCACTGGGCAACGCATCATGTTGGTAACTACTATGACCCATTTCCAAAGCATTATCATCAGGTTCCAGGAAATACAAGTTTCATACCGCTTGCAGGTTAACTTGCCCCTTGTAATCCCCTTTAATCCCCTATTTGAGCCCTCCAGGGCTCTCCAAAGCAGCTGTTCCCAGCTCACTGCACTTGCTGTCTCCCCTGACCTGCCCCCAACCCTAGATGCATCTCCTCAGTCTAGGCAGCATCCCCACGTTCCAAACCCCCAAATTCATTTCTACTGGCATTAGGAATAGATGTCTCGCTTCTTAAAGTGACCCCCTCAACTGACTGAGGGGATTCCATCCCAATTCTAAAATCAACCACCTATAGCCACCCCCTGCACCAACTTACCTCCTTCTGCCTCAAGACATCTCCCCAATGTCGGGATGGGGCAATTTGACTTTGCTTAGTCCTTTGCACCTCCTAGTGTTTCTCAAGATGTCCCCAGACCACCTCTCATTACCTGCAAGAGCCTATGGAAAACAAAGTCTCTCTGAATGGAATGTAGAATCCTGGATTGGATCCCGGAACAGATAAAGAACAGTGGTGGAAATTGGTGAAATCCACATGAAGTCTGGGGTTAATAGTGATGAACCACTGTTGACTTGTTAGTTTTGACATACTATGCTAGGTTAAAATGAGGAAGAATGGGTAAGGAAGGGCATACAGAAACTCTGAATTACCTTTGCAGCTCTTTTGTAAACCTAAAAAAACCCACAAAAACAAAATAACAAACAGCAGTTTCTTGGGCTCCAGACCCATCAAATCTCCTCAATTCCTAAGAATAGGCTGCCTTTTCAATAGCCCTAAATATTCTTATGCAGACTCAGATTAGAAAACCTAGGCCCTGCCGGGCGTGGCTCAGTGGTTGTGCATTGACCTGGGATCCAGGCAATCGGGGTTCGATTCCCAGTCAGGGCACATGCCCAGGTTGCTGGCTCGATCAATGACTCTCATCATTGATGTTTCTATCTATCTCTCTCCCTCTCCTTTCCTCTCTCTGAAATCAATAAAGATATGTTAAAAAAAAAAGAAAAGAAAACCTAGTGTTTCAATTCCCTTTTTTTTTTTTTTTTTGGTAATCCTCATCTGAGGAGGGTATTTTTTCCATTGATTTTTTAGAGTGGAAGGAGGGGGAGAGGGGAGAGAAACATGGATCTGAGAGACACATTGATTGGTTGCCTCCCACACAGCCTGACCGGGGCGGGGGATTGAACCTGCAACCCAGGTACGTACCCTTGACCAGGAATCGAACCCAAGACCCTTTTGTATGCTGGTCAATGCTCTAACCAATGAGTACACAGGCCAGGGCTCAATTCCTTCCACTCCATGCCTGAACAGCTGCTTCCTCCTCACTTTGCCCCACCTTGCCTCAGCATGATTTAATCCTTCAGATCCTCTGACTCCTAGGATATGAGTATTATTATTATCCCCCTTTCACAGATGAGAAAACTGAAGTACTAACAGGTTAAAGAATATGTCCAGGACCACACAGCCTTTAAATGGTGGAGCTGGGATTAGAATCCCTAGTCTAGCTCCCAAGTCTATGCACATGACGATGCTATTTCCTCTCAGTCATGTTTCCATCCACGACAAACTAAAGAGCTCTGTAATTAAATCACTAAGGGAAGCATTATTACCAGTAAAACTCTGGGCCCACCTGTTTCTCCAACTGCCTAAGTCCCAACATTCCCTTTGCTCCAGCTTGTGACGTTGCCCTTGCCTCCCTTCTCCACTGGGAGTTAATGAGCACTGAGAAAGCACTGGGAAGAGGTGCCAGCTAGAGTCCTGTACAGGTAAGGTACAGATGCTCTTCCGTTAGGATCCAGCTCAACTACTGCATTCACTCTTCTCCCAATTGCCCTCACTTATGAACCAATCTAATCATGTTCCCAGCACTTAGACATTGAATTATATACTCTCATTATTGGATTTGTCTTATCTCCCCCAAACAACATTGTCAGCTCCTAATTACCTGTTTTCTCCCATGCTTATGCCTCAGAGCACTGCTGGGGAACAGATAAACCAGGCATTCACATGGTAGTGGTTGGTAGACTGGTAGCTAACCTGCATCTTGCCAAAACAACGGACAGTAAGAAAGCACCCTGACAACAGCATCTCAGGTTCACTAAGCATCTGCCCACATTATCAGGTAGGTGCCAAATCTAAATCAACTTATATCCTCTTATCTGGGTTCCCTGACTTGTATTTACAGCTTAATATCAAATTGTGGGACTAACTGGTGAATGATGAATAGTTTGGAGTTCCTGTTCCCCAACCAGACACAGAACAACAGCACCGTCTACTCCAATAGGTTCAGTATACAGCAGCGACTCTCAGCCAGTGACAACACCTGACCTGTTTAGTCAGGGGCACTAACCTCTTTTCCCTTAGATTGTCAAATAAAAAAATGACAACAGCCAACATAATAGCTGTCTGGTGTGAATGCCCTGTCTTGAGCCATAAATATATAGGTCATATTATAGAGTTGCATTTTATTGGTCACGCTGGATAATCAGGTTGTGTCTGATTGGTTAATTCTTGGTACCAGAAATCCTTCTATAGAAGTATAGGCATCTGATTTTTAAAGAAGTCACTTTGGAGCAAAAAGGGTAGGTTATTATTATTATTACTATTATTTTGGTAAAGCAATCACAGTTATACCTATTTTTTGGTCAGATTGGCAAAAAATGTTTTTTGGTGCGCCACAGAATTTTAGTCATTTATGTGTGCCGTGAGATAAAAAAGGTTGAAAATTGCTGGCATACAGTCTAGATGGAGGGTTGATAAAACACAACAGTCTCAGGCAATGTCTCTGTTCTTACGTGTATTTCCCCTCAAGTCTTCAAGTCAATCATGAAACAATAAGAGGATCAGCAGGAGAAACCTATGAAGTATATTCAGGTAAAACAAGTTTTCATTAGTTCTGTTTCTGGTGATTGGAATTAGCTTGATTTTCCTATTAATAAAACATTACCATTTATATTTTAAATACATCTGAGAAATCTGATTAAGAAGTCAGAATCCACGTATCTCCTCAGATACTCTTAGAAAGCAGTGTGTCTCCATAACAGCATGAGGAGAAAAAGACTTGTACAGCAGCTTATTTTCTTTACCATTGCTTTAATGCACTTTAAAATTTATCTACATTAGTTGGGAACAAAGAAACAAAAATAGACATTTCTTTGTTTTTCATAAATAACTACTCTCCATATTTGATAAAAATCTCAAAGCATTATTTTACCTTCCAGCAAATATAATACATACAAAATTTTTCTGAAATAATAAGGTCAGCAAATTATCATGAGACTAACATAACCACATACACAGCTGTTCTACTGAATTCCAGGAAAACAAAAAAACTCAAGATGCTCTGGGTTTCCATTTGTTAATGCTATGGACTCAGAATGATAATCATCTGCCAGTAATAACTTATAGATTCAAGTTGATTGTCTACAAATAAAATATCGCTGGCCCTGATTCGGGAGTTCTGGAGATGTCTTTGTGAAGCTACTGCATGGGGTAGGCACTATACATATATGGAAATCATAAAAAGTATTAAATGCCCTGGACTCGAACTACTGACTCGGTATGTGCCTCATTTGGCTCAGTAATAAATTCACCTGCACCAAACCCGTATCAAAAGTCACTAAATCTCTCATATATATATAATATATATTATGTATATACAGACCCACATCACATACATACTATACATACAGTTTGTAACAACATGAAGTAATATTGTTGTAAAATGATGTACCACAGGCATTATCCTGGCTGAAATCAATCCTGTAATTGTCATCAAGCTGCTAGAAGCTTTGTGAGTTGAGTCAGGTTACTTAGCGACTTACATCCTGCCTGCCCCTCACCCTGCTTTAATGTCTTGGTAGCTTTTTCTTTCAGAACCACCCTCCCCAACTCAGGCATATTTCTTTCCCAAGATCACTTGATTGGACTTAGGAAGCAAGAAAGGACATGCAGAGGGAGCAGGCAAATCTCAGCCACTCTACCTCACACCTGCCTAGATTTGTGATGTGCTCTGTCCTGTTTGCCACATTCGGTGTTAGAAAGCAGTTATTCAAAGCTTTGTCCCTTCTACCCCCCTTGGTCTTTCTGTAGAGCACAAAAGTGAAAGAAGCCTCTTTAGCAGGGGTAGCAGTTCATTAAAATATACAACTACATTTCCTAGCTCTGGGGGTCCCATTCTGTACTTGACAGTGCAGGTCACGGATGCTGTTATTAAGGTTCAGTGTGGGATCCATGAGGTTTTCTCCTGGCAGCCGGTGTCAGGATTAGTGCAGCCCTGGCCCAGGAGGAAACAGCCTAATGAATACCAGTTTGGAAACAGTGCTGTCGGCACATTATTTAAGCTTGTACATGCGCACAATTACACACAACACACACGCACAGGCCCGTCATTAGAAGTGGTCAGGTGAAAATATGACAAAGGTTTGCAAGGATAAATCAATAAGGCACCAAGAAAAATTTTTTCAGCCAATTTAGACAACTTCAAAATGTGAGGAAGAAATAATATAAATTAAAAGCACTTCCTAAAGTCATGGCAACTGATTCACTGAGAGATCACATTAGCTCCTTTAGACCACCTTCTAAATCTTCACCCCCTAATGTAGGAAGTAAGACAATGCTTAAAATTGAACTGTGAAAGGGACAGCCCCAAGGCTGTACATGTGAGACCAAACGGAGTCCCCAAACCCTCTCCCACTTCACAAGCTGGCTGTGAAGAGGTTGCTAACCGCCCCCCCAACCTTTCAGTTTATCATTGTTTCCATGAGTATGAATGGTTTGCATAATAAAAATGCAAATGGCGGGGGGGGTAGTGTTGGGATGGAAATAGGGGATGAGCATAAATAGCTCGGCTTCTCTCCCCTGGGTAGGGGGTGGGGTGGTAGATATTAGGGAGACTTCAGGGAAGCAGGTGGGCTTTATCCTGGAGGGAAAGGAGGAAAGCAGGGTGAAAACAGACTGAAAACAAAAAGGCAGCTCTGAAAGTAGACCCCAAAAAGCATTACCTGTATCACCTCTCCTGGGCCTTGTATCCTTTGTGTTAACTCTAAGTTTGGCATGTGGCCAAAATGAAAAAAATAATTTTAAATGAAGAATTAAATTATTTTCATCCACTCATCCTACAACTTTTAGATACACTGTGCACCATTTCTAGATTCCTCCACAAAGGAAAAGACAAAGGGGGGGACAATCCAAATCAGGCACAGGGACTGAAGACAGCTGAACCATCTGTGTACTTTCAGGGAAGATATACTAAATGAGGGAAGGTCACGTTGATCAGGAAAGGGCCTCATTTGAAAATAGGAGAGGAACTGCACCCAGACAGGAATCATTTCGAGGGTCTAAGACACTTCTGAGTAAGTAGGGGAGTAAGACACACAAAATGTTCTCTAGGCTGTGTGTACCAGGTTTTGTCAAAGCCACTGAACTTTTCATCGATTCAGAGGATGAATGTGTAAGAGCAGTGCGGTTTTAAAGCTGTGAACAGCTTCTGAGTCGTTAAAACTGTAATACCAGGCTTCCCACACCCCCAGCAAAGCGTTTAAATTCACTATGGGAACTATTCATTTGTTTACTTAATAACCATGAAGTAAAAATTGAACTGGGCTTTAATCTTACTTTTCCAACTTTGGTATAAATGAAGCACAAATTCCCTAGACTTGTTTCCCTAGGGAGGCATTCTCAAATTTTAATTGCTTTGGCCACTTTAGCTTCCTAAATTTAGTACCCACTCAACCCCCGTCACTGGTATTTTGCTGGCCAATGCACTGTCACCCCCTTCCCCAGTCATGGCCTCACACTCTTCATGAATGAATGGTTAAACAGATTAGGAAAGCAAACAGAAGTTTCTAATAGTAAAGAAATCTGTGTGTGTGTGTTCATCATATAGGCTTTCATGTATCAATGGGTTAGACAGGTAAGGAAAGCAAACAGAATCGTCTTACAGCAAAGTGTGTGTATGTGTGTGTGTTCATCAGTACATAGGCTTTCTCAGAAAAAGAGGGAAAGAACAATATACTGAGGTCAGGGTGGGGAAAACAGCTTTCCTCCTTGGTCCACATTTTAAAAAACTAACGCAAGTGTGCTATGGGCCTCATTTGTTTTCAGAGACTGCAGAGAGCAACGTCTTGCTGCTTTTGGAATATCTGGCCATACACTAGTCCAAAGTCCAGGGACACATTTTCTCTCATTGCTGCCAATGTTTGTTCACAGGTAGCCAGCTTCCCTCCCCCAGTTCGAGCACCTCACTGGAGGGTGGGTGTGGTTTCTAATCACAGCTCTCCAGGGGAGAGGAATAAGAAAACCAAAAAGACTGTTTAACATGATAAAGGAGGTGGGATGGGGGTGGAGCAAGTAAATGTTGGAAATTTACTTAATTACTGGAAGTATATCCATTTTAGCCCTTAAATCTACAAAGCAGCCCTCTTTAGCAACTAAGTAGTTCCAGAAGAAAGGAGTGGGTTTATACTTTTACCAAAATTATAACACAAGTTGTTTTGTAAAAAAAATAAATAAAAAATGGGATCACTGAAGCCTATTAAGAACCACCCACTCCTCTGGTACAGAGCTGCCATCTTATCAGTCTAGAATTCAAGCTCGACCAATTTCCATCCCTTAGGTCTTCACTACTCCAAATATTTATACCGGGCACTACAACGCTCCCTCTAACTTATTCAAAAAGCTGGCGCTGTTAAGAATGAGAATGATTACAAGTACTACAGAAAAGAAACGGAAGCTCACTAAACAAAGCTAGAATGAACACAAAATCGCTAAACACTCCCTAACCTTGTCATTTTGGGGAGGCCCTAACCACACTATGCAGTCCTTGGTATGACCTGGAATTTCATAAACAGGGTCAAGCAGCTCACCTTAAAACATCTTGGACACTTTAAGCAGTGGAAGGAGAAACAAGCTGAAAAAGCACACCCATTGGATTCTCAGTCATAGTAACCCAGACTTTCACTGTTCACATTTTTTTTAAAGACACAAATATAGGAAATATATTTTTCCAATTCAGAACACACAGTTCAAAGCAACCTGAACCAAGTGGAACTTCATTATAATGCCAACGTTAGGATTGTAAAGCCCCCAAAGCAAAGGTAAATTTTGTTGCCAAAATGCAACAAAGTTAAAAATTAAGAAAAATACATATTAAATTAAAAGCGTTCTCTTAAAGAAGGCAGTAAGAAACGCAAAATAGAATACACGTGAGCTGAGCCCCTCTGAGAAGTCCCGGGACAGCTACTCCCTGGGAAGGGCCCTTCCCCCTTCTCTCCAAGTTGCTCCAGGAGGGGGCATCAGCACCAGGAAGGTAAACGGAAGTGACCTTGGCAAAGCTTCCAAACAAAACACCCCTCCCCCTCACTCCGGGCAGAGGACTCCTACACGTGCGACAGGGACACTTGCTTGTGGTAGGCGGCTGCGGCGGGGCCCGGTGGCCCTGTCCTGCCCGTGAGCGCTGCGCTCGCCTCGCCATAGTCCCGGGCAGCAGTGGCGCCTCCACTCTTGTGGCCCCGTCGCCGGCGGCAGCAGCAGCGGCTGGTGAATCGCCGCCAGGACTCCACAGTCTTGCTGGACCAAATCCAGACGCCGGAGGTGATGCCCACCACGAGGCACATGAAGTACTTGAGCATGAGGACCCAGTACTCCGGCTTGGCGCGCGGCTGGCCCGTGTCCGGGCCCGGGCACGCGCAGGTGAGCGCAGCCTCCCAGCTCTCGCGATAGTGCTGCTCGTACAGGTAGCAGGCCACCACGATGCTGGCGGGCACCGTGTAGAGCAGCGTGAAGATGCCAATGCGGATCATGAGCTTCTCCAGCTTGTCCGTCTTGGTGCCGCCCTGCTTGATGACGCTACGGATGCGGAAGAGCGACACGAAGCCCGCCAAGAGGAAGAGCGTGCCCACCAGCAGGTAGAGCACCAGAGGGCCCAGCACGAAGCCGCGCAGCGAGTTCAGGTTCTGGTTGCCCACGTAGCAGATGCCAGCCACTGGATCCCCGTCCACGGAGCTCAGTGCCAGCGCAGTGATGGACTTGACGCTGGGGATGAGCCATGCGGCCAGGTGGAAGTACTGTGCATAGCCTGCGATGGCCTCATTGCCCCACTTCATACCGGCTGCCAAGAACCAGGTGAGCGACAGGATGACCCACCAGATGGAGCTGGCCATGCCGAAGAAGTAGACCAGCAGGAAGACGACAGTGCAGAGCGCAGGGCCCGTCGTCTCGTAGTGAATGTGGCTGTGCTCACGGCTGCAGGCGACACTGGCATGGCCCATGACCAGGCGCACAAGGAAGCCCAGAGACACGCACAAGTAGCAAGCTGACAGAAAGATGATGGGGCGCTCCGGGTAACGGAAGCGCTCCATGTCTATCAGGAAGGTGGCCACAGTGGTGGAGGTGGAGATAAAGCACAGCACGGACCACAGGCCGATCCAGAAGGTGGCGAACGTGCGCTCGTCGGGGCTGAAGGAGGGCTGGTAGCAGGGCACCGCGCAATTGGGTACCTGGCCTGTCCGCACCTTGTTGTAGAGCGGGTGCGACTCCTTCAGAATGGGCACGAAAGGTTCTCGGCACTTGCACACCGACGGGCCCCCAGCGGCGCACTCCCCTCCCGAGGGCAGAGCTCCTGGTGGGCCTGGGAGAGTGGGTTTGACCGGGAAGATCCTAGGGGGCACCGTGGTGGCCTCACTACGATTGTAATCCATGCACAGGACCTCGGCGTCGCGCCCCAGCACCGGGAGGCGGTCGCAGCTCATGCGCTCCGGCCAGGCGAAGCCATACTGGCGCATGAGGGGCGAGCAGCCGGCTTTGGCGCGCTCGCACACCGAGCGGCAGGGCGGCAGGGGCTTGTGATAGTCCGGCAGGCAGATGGGCGTGTACATGGAGCACAGGAAGAAGAGCAGGTCCGGAGAGCAGTGGATCTCCACCAGCGGCCAGAATTGGTGCACCTCCAGGCCCGCCTCGTCCTGCGTGTCGTGGTTGAACTGGTTGGGCATGTGCGTCAGGTTGTAGCCTATGCCGCGGCACATGGGTACCGTGATTTCCTGGCACACCGGGGCCTTGGAGGCGGCCACCGCTCGGCCTGCCAGCTGCGCCAGGAGCAGCAGCAGCAGCGAGGGCGGCGCAGAAGGGTCAGGCCGAGCCATAGCCCCCTCCCTCCCCTCGCCTCGCACAGCCCGCGCGGGGCCCACGCCGGCAGGGGAAACCGGGACCGGGGCTTCCCTCTCCGCCGACTGGAGTGTGGCGCCGGGGCTGGCAACCTGTTGGTTCTTTTTCTCTTCAAGAAATCCGCCCCAAGATAAACTGTTTCGGGAAGGCGCTGCCTCCCTCCGCGCTAAGCTCTTCGCCGGATAGGGTTTGGGAGGGGCAGTTCGGGCTCCGATTCCAAGGAAAGTACTCTTTAAAAAAGAAGAAAAATTGCAACCACTCCCAATTAGAGGGGAGTCAACGGCTCAGTCCCCGCAAGCGGTCTCCAAATCTCTAGATTAAACTCTCCCTTCTCCCCCTTCCACCTCCTGAAACCGAACTTCTGACTCCCCGCCTCCCTTTCCACTTGGCCCTCCAGGCTGGACCCCGGGGTCAGAACGATCGGCCCCCTCCAGAAAAGGGCAGAGGGCCAGGGGCAACGGGGAGAAGGGGAAGGCGCGGGCGCTCACCTCCGTGGCTCCGGAGAGAAGCAGATATTCCACAACCAGGCTGGGTCCTCCGTCCCTGGGACAGTCCCCTCAGAAACGCGATTCAGAGCCAAGCTGGCACCTGGAAAGTTTGGCGATAGGCTGGGTGTACGAGGCGGCGGCACATGGCAGCAGGTGGGGGCGTCTCAGAGAGGGGGCTGCCCCCAGAACGCGATCGCCGCAGGCCCGTCACTCGCCCTCTCCTCCTCCGGGGCCCCCCGCATGATCCGGGCGGGGCAGGGGCAGGCCGTGCGTTCCACCGGGGTCCCGAAGCCGCACGAAGGGCGAACGCGCCTGCAGCACCTAGGCGAGAGGAAGGCGGTGTGTGGCGGCCGGGAGGACCCGCCGCCTCA